GTTGTACGAGACACTATGCATTCGTATGTGACATTATGTATTCGTACAGATGATTCGTACGGGACATTATACATTCATACGGGCAATTCGTACGAGACACTATTCATTCATACTGGATGATATGTGATCATACAGTACAATCGTAGGATAGTTTTCTTATAACTTTTTAGTTTTTGGATGATTTTTCACGTTCTTTCAATATAAGGAGTTCTAAAAACTATAAAAAAGGCCTTTATTGTGAATTTCTCTTGAGAGTGGTCATTGAGTGTGAGTATTTGGGAGAGATTATGAGAGTGAAGTGTGAGAGATCAAGTGAGGGGGTTGTGAAGGATTCATAAGGTTACCCAAATCGAGGATCTCTTTATTTCCTTCAAGTTTTTTCCCATCTCCTCTAAAGGCTCTTACGTGAATTTCTTCAACATCAGTCGTGAGTTCTTTGCCGACACTTGGAGAGTGTGAAAGGATGATGGTTCTCTGCCAACACTTGAAGGATATGAAAGGATGATGGTTATCTGCTGACACCTGGAGGGTGTAAAAGGATGATAGTTCTCTACCACACCGGGGATTGGTGGAAGAGACAAAAATTGTGAAGGCTTCTCCGCCTTGCTGTGGGGGGCAAAATGAGAGTCACTTTGATATAGTGCAATACCTAAAGAGAGAGTCTTCAGGGAGTGGATGTAGGTCTAGTTGGACCGAACCACTATAAAACTTGGTGTTCTTTTGTTCTCTTTTATTTTCCACATTTTTATTTTATGCACTTTAATGTTTTATGGTTAAAAAATCTTTTGATTTAAAATTATAAATCAGTTTTCTAAAATTTACCAAGAGTTTTTTAAATTACCAATTCACCCCCTCTTGGTTAGCATTGTGATAATTGTGTAGGTCTAACAACATATCTGAACTTTTACAAGTGGTATGAGAGCTTTGTTTCAAAACTTTAAGTTTAGTCTACTTTTTAAAAATGATTATGACTACTTTTGAAAACCGTAACACACTCAAAGGATATTCGATCATTAGACCACCTTTATTTAAAAATATTTCTTTTGATTTTTAAAAAATTCGAATGTCTACTTTCTTGCAATCAATATATTTTTGAATGTTTCATATAATTCAAACATGCTATTCTATACAGTCATATATTATAGATGGAATCAAAACCGATATACCATTTTCTGGATGGAGTAGAGTAGAATAAATTTATGCTCAATTAAATGCTAAATGTATGAATTGTTTATTATGCGCTTTAAATTATGAAGATTATATGATAATCTCTACATGAACTATTGGTAAGGAAATTTGAGATGGTTTATGCATTACATATGAAGGTATTAGTGAAGTCAAGCAATCTAAGTTAAATATTTTTATGCATGAATATGAACTCTTTAGCATGAAATTTTATGAGACTATCTTAGACATGTTTACTATATTTTCACAAATAGTAACATCATTGGAAGCTATAGGTAGAGAAGTTTCAAACTTTGAAAAAGTGAATAAAATTTTACGATGTCTACCCAAAAAAATTAATGCTAAAGTTACTACTATAATTGAATCAAAATATTTGAATAATTATACTATTGATAATTTAATTGACTTACTCATTGCTCATGAGCAAACTATGAGTCAAAGACTTTTGGATTATTGATAATTTAATCTTAAGGATTTACACCATTGCCAAAAAATTATGAAAAAAATTTATTATAACTAAAACACAATAATATCTATCTTATGGCAAAGATACTTTTCAAATTTGACTTATAATATCTCATAAAAAAAATTATTTGTCTGAGTTAAAAATTTGATTATTGCACCAGCAAACCCATCATAGCCAGGACCTTCATCGTAGCTGTTTAACACATATGATGCACAAGTTGGTCATACTGTAGATTTTGATTACATCATCCAGTCCTAACTGACAACTTTATATTCATCATTTCTCATGTTTATATTGGAGTGGATGGCACCGTAGGCTTACTGTCATCACCAACAGAACTAAATTTACTCTTATAGTAAGGGCCACCATCCTAGGAATACCCACGTATTCAGGAGTATGAAGACTTGGCTATTAATCCACCACCTCAAAGGCGACTACGACGATCTCCGAGTAGATTTACCTCATGAAGTGATGGTATTCCATTTCGTTGACTACCATAGTTTTGTTTTTTTATTTCATCATCTTATATGTAACAATATTTTATAGATGAGTATTTCAATTCATTTCATCTTTACATGTTTAACTTTTTTGCACATGTTTTATGTAATGTTGAAAGTTAAGGTGATCAACTAATTACTTAAGTTATTCAAGTGACAAAAAATTATAAGTTCTTGCAAAACACCACTACATAGCACAATAAATTGCATTAACACATTAGATATTAACTTTAATAAGCATGGGGAAAAAAACACGAAACAAGCAAACATATATAGTACTACATAGCTTTGCTATTTCCTTACAAATATATGTAGACATGGTAGGTATTGACTTTGTGTTGGACAGCACTTTAAGTTAAATTCAAACTCATATTGATGGTGTTGCCAATCCTCGACATTGAAAAACTTCCTTGGCTTTCCTTTTTGTGACAACCCCTTCATCCAATTCTTATGGAAATCCAAAATGAAATCATCATAACCAGAATACTAAATATGATAATCACATGCTCAAGGTCTAGGTTGCTGCAAGTAACAACACGCGAATGGACACTTTCTTTATCAAGTCGTATCTCATGATATCGCATCTGTAGAACATGAGAACTAACAAGATGATGATCATGTTGCAGGAATCTCATTTGAAGATATTTCCAACTGAAAGCATTCAGAAAATCTCATGTCTTATAAATTTTTATCCTCATCACTTTAGCATGCATATGCTAAAGTATACAATTATCATCTTCTGGCTATTCATTGATGCAACACCTAAAAATCTCATTTGTGTTCTCCTTTCGCTATAACAGAATATCAACAACCCATGTCATACAAACATGCATTCTTCTATATGCACTATCAAACAATTCCTTTATGTAGATGCCTTAAACACTTTCCATACACGATCAATTTATTTCGAAAGCCACAATTAAAAACTTCACAAACGAACTTCATACGTACATGTACTCCTTAAATAATAGAGGTTAAGGATATCATACCTTTATATGAATCTTGAAATTACAAAATTTATTGATTGGACAATACATCTTTATAGATTATTTGATATGATAGGTTGTTGCAAGCAATAATATCATATTAATGAAAGCGGGCACAAAGCAAAAACAATCTTATGTTGTGAATGAAATTTTGGCAGAGGAATCCAAAGTTCTCACCAACTATGACTATTTAGTAAATGCTTATGCTGCCTGAATTGGCATAGCATGAATAGACTAACCTAATTCATTAGATGCTACAAATAAAATTTTTAAATAAATAATAATATTATCTATTCATAAAATACAAAATAGTAGTCTCCATTACTTTTGAAATGTTACCTATTCAATTTAAATTCTACAAAAATTCTCCATTTAATAAATGAAACCAAATGAATAATTTTTGACATACAAAATTTATTCTATATTGCTTACATCACAAATTTGTTTTAAAAGATATATTACTCAATTATTAACTCTACCAAGATCATAACTCCTAAAAGTTTTGGCTAAATACATTGGGCGATGAATATAATTTCAAACATTTGCTTATACTATATTGAAGCTCATTACTATGATCATAAATAAATTTATAAAAATTTTAATTTTGTAATTAAATTTAATCTAATTTAACATATCTTTTGTATTTCATAATACATTTCGTGCATTCCTCGTATCTGTAACCTGCTCTTTTTTGAAAAAAACTAAATCTTAAAAATCATACCTAAATCATAACACATTAATTATTTGGTTACTTTTAAAGCTTCTCCGTTCTTATGTTTAAATTAATAAATTTATTTTACCAATATTGATGAAATTTATACTCTTAACTTATTTTTAAATTGTTTGAAAAATTATTTAAATTTCGCAATATAAAAGTAGCCGAAATTTTTAAATTTGTTACTTATATCTCATAAAATCAATGTTCATGAAATTTGATCAAAATTTCATTGCTAAACAATAAATTATTTCTCATATAAGAGTTCGCGCATTCGTCACATAAGAGTTCGCGCATTCAGTTGGTGCACCCAAGCTGATGGGATGGGCAGAATGTGCCTAATGAATTTACACAATACGAAATAAGCCAATTTATTTGATGGATTCCAAAATGCGCCGAATGAATTGGAGCATTTACTCCTTTCTAAATATAAATTTAAACTTGCTCTTATTACTTATTTCCATGTATAATGTGCTCCTACTTAAAATTTTTCCTTTACTTGATTGCCTTGTAATTAAGCTCTAAATTTTGTCAAAGAACAGTTATTACGTCCTCTGACCGGACGTAGAGCTACGTTTGGCCGCCAATAACATGTCGCCACGTGCTTTTACTCTTTACCGCGCGGCCCGACGACTTGACCCGGAGCGGAACCCGGGAATGTTATGTTCGTGATTTTCTCGGTATTGCTCGGTATTTGCTCGGTATTTGCTAGGTATTGCTTTGCAAAAATGAGAAATACCGCTCTGTGAAGACCAATACCATGCAAATACCGAGTTGTACCGAGTTTTTTTACAACTCGGTACAACTCGGTATTTTCTCAGGATTTGCTCGGTATTGCTAGGGATTTGCTCGGTATTGCTAGGTATTGCTAGAAAAAACTCGGTACAACTCGGTATTTGCTCGGTATTGCTAGGTATTTGCTCGGTATTGTTCGGTATTAGTTATTGCCGAGCAAAATCGACCAATACCTAACAATACCGAGCAATACCAAGCAATCTTGGGTCCGTTTCGGGTCGGGTTGTCGGGGTGCACGGTAAATAATGAAAACGCGTGACGCAATTCTACTGGCGGCCGAACGTAGAGTTGCGTACTTTCACCGGACCAAATAAAAGTTCCAAATATAGAGGACTTGAGCTACAAATCCAGACAAACTAATTGCTTGATGTGCTTTGCCTACCTACTTCGACGTTGCAGCAGCCTGCGCAAACTCCAAGCCGCCCACGCGGTTGCCACCACCACCGGCATTACCTTTCTTCAGCCCGCCGCCAACCTAACATCCCTCCTCCAAACCCTAACTCTCCTCCGGCCGCTCCCCCCTCCTTCCCTCTCTCTCCCTTACGCCCTTTCCCTCTTTCACTTCCTCCCAAATTCCACCTCCACCCTCGCCCACAACCTCCTCATCCGCCTCTTCCTCTCCGTCGTTCCCTCCTCCCCTCTCCCCGCCATCCATCTCTTCTCCCGCCTCCGCCGCCTTTCCCTCCCTCCCGATCTCCATTCCTTCCCCCTTGCCCTTTCAGCCTCCTCCCGTCTCCGCCTTCTCCCCCTCGGCTGCGCTTTCCACGCCCAATCCCTCCGCTTCGGCTTTTCCTCCAACCTCTTCGTTCGCAATGCCCTCATTTCCTTGTACACCTCCTGCTCCTCCCTTCCCGACGCTGAAAACATCTTTCTTGACAACAACCACGCCATCGACATCGTCTCCTATAACGCTCTCATTCATGGCTACGCCAAGGCTGGAAACCTTCAAAACGCCCAACAATTGTTCAACCAAATGCTTCAAAGGGATGCAATCTCATACGGCACCATGATTGTGGCTTATTCCCATTTTGGTCAACATTCTGACGCACTACAACTGTTTGATCAAATGCAGTCTGATGGTTTCAAACCAGACAATGTCGCTTTGGCATCAGCTCTCACCTCCTGCGCACAAATGGGACAGCTAAACCGTGGAAAAGCCATTCATGATTACATTAGAAGGAATAGAGACGAGCTCAGTGTTTCACTCTTAACAGGTCTTATAGACATGTACGCCAAATGTGGTGAAATCAACAATGCACTCAATTTGTTCAACGGAAGTTCAAGTAGAAATCTTTTCACTTGGAACTCCATTATAGTTGGTTTAGCGATGCACGGATATGGAAAGCTTTCATTAGATTACTTTGACAAGATGAGAGCTGCTAGAGTTAAGCCGGATGGCGTCACCATCTTGGGTGTTCTGGTGGCTTGTAGTCATTCTGGATTTGTAGAGACTGCAAGAAGGGTGTTTTGCGATATGGAGAGAGTGTATGGGGTGAGGATTGAGTTGAAGCATTATGGATGCATGGCAGATTTGTTTGGTAGAGCTGGGATGATTGAGGAAGCGATGAAGATGATTGAAGAGATGCCGATGAAGGGAGATGGATATGTTTGGGGGTCAGTGCTCTCCAGTTGTCGAATTCATCATGGGAATGTTGAGGTTGCTGAGGTTGCGGCAAGGAAACTACTGGAGATTGATCCAGGGGATACTGGGGTTTATTCGATTATAGCAAGGATTTATGCAGATGCAAGGAGATGGGAAGATGTGCAAAGGATTCAGAGGATCATGGATGCTATAAAAGTAAAGAAGAATATTGGCTTCAGTTTGGTTCATTTGCCTGGGAATGTATAATGGTAATATTATTCAAATCTTTTATATTTGCATATCTAATATACTGCTAAAAACATTTGAACTAATATTCTCATATATTTTATACATTTGAAAACCATCTCGTTAATTTTTGTACGCATTATGTAGTTTATTTGGTAGTTAGACTATGTAAATTTTGCTGAAATAATGTGAGATAGATGATAGGATGTTCATATTTCTAATAAATTATGTTGCACCATCTTGCAAAATTATAGACTTGTTTATTGTTTAAAATGTATTTAGCATTGCTATAATTTAAATATTTGAGGTTTTTGCTTCAAAATTTGGAGAATTGCTTTGTTTTCTTAAGATCTATGATAGTCATCAAACTGCATGTTGCCATTTTGAATAATTAAATTTAAATGGCTTGAAAAATCTTGTTGATGTGAATATTGATTGACTAGTAATTTTGTATATTAATCATGGTGGTGTCATCACTATTTTATAAATGATAAAAAAACAAGTTTATGTTTTGTCATTCCTTCTATATGAACACAACACTTAGTTATTCAAGTGTTCATCCTTTTTTTCCCCTTAATTCCGTCACCCATCACCTCATCATTTTGGTATTAGAGTAAGCCATGTGAATAACAAGGTATTCAAGTTAGCATAAAAAGGTTTCCATCAATTGCCTATTTAGGAAAACTTTCTGATTGTTCAGTTTTTCATACTGCAATTATATTTCTGTTTCGCTAGTATTTTCTTACTGTTTTTTCATTGCTTTTTAGAAACTTTTTTGATGAGAAGTTATTTTTTTGGAACTATATCTACTAATGTGTAAGAGCTATAAAGAAACTGTTGTCCAACTTTACAAAAAAAAAAAAAATCACAATCACTTTCAAAAAAGTTATTTTCTTCATAACAATCTTACAACAACCTTTATAAAAAGCTACAGGGACTCCAAACAGACTATAAATTACATTCTACAAGTGGTAAGGTTTATAAAAAAGTTAGTAGTTTGCATTTGTTCTTATCAATTTATAACAGAGTATAAATCCATCATAAGCGTTCATTTTGTGCAAGTCGTATGATGCCAATTAATAAACTACAGTATGATCTTATTCAACCTTCAATAACATGACAGAACCGTTCACTTTGATGAAATAGGTCAGAAACCAAATGAAAATTTTGCTTAGCATGAAGTTCCAAGAGCAACTTTTTAGAGAGTAACATGATTCAATTGAGGAATTTCTTTCTTCAAAATCAATATAAGTCATGTCTAAAACTCCTCCCATTGCCAATATTCTTTCGTTACCCACAACCAATCATAGTTAACATAATCTTCCTATGATTGCAAATCAAAGTTCAAATGCTTTATTACTTCTCAGGATATTTTTAAGTGTGTGAGGGGAGTTGATACAGGAAAGGGGTTAAATTTCAAACAAGATGATGAAATTTGTTAAACTCAGAATAATAAAAGGAATTGCCAAAAGTGGAATGGATGACCCCCTTCACATCACAACTTCTAATCATGCATGGCTTAACTTTAATTAACTTTTAGTGTTTTCATTTTCATTATTATTAATTTATTTCCAATGAGCTTAGGAGTTAAGAGAAGAGCAAATAATGGTGTAATAATATATCTGGATTTTCAGGCAAAATTGGATAAATTTAAGCCATGCAAACTCCATGAAAAAACCGGCCAAATCAAGGCATCAGTATGCCTGGGTCAGCCAAAGAAGCTTATGAGATAAGTCTCTCCATATTCAAATGGTTATCCAAGGTTCATGCATAAAGATAATTCAAGATAAGAACACAGAAGTAGTATAAGGAGAAGAACTCATTACTTCACAGAAAAAGAAACAAAATAATCCAATAAATAATAAGTAATGCTTACCAATTAAAGTGGATTATGATGTTGTCTCCCTTTACTCTCATCCTTCCTTATCATCCTTAACACGCCGTCTCCCACATTTTTTCAATTTCTCCATTTAATTTTACAGAAGCAGGCCATAATGACATTTTGAACAATCCAATCTTCAAACCAAATCCTTTAAAATTTTTTCAGCTTTATTCTCGAGACATCATTCTTTCTGACTATGTTGAGAAGGAATCCTTTAAACCTATCCAACTCCATTTCTGTGATACATGTATGCCCACAAGTCTTACTTAATAGTTCAAGTGTATTCTCCTTATCCTTTTCCCCCTTCCAGCACGTCAAGTAATGGTGTTGCCTCATGGCTCTCTACAATGGCGGTTACAGCTCCAATAAAATCGCAACCAGGATCAAACAATGTGTGAAGTGCCTTCAAAGCCGCTTCAGTCAAAGCAAACTCCATAGTTTTCACCATCTCTATCAACGGATTTACTGCCTTATCGACTACAAGTCAGATGAAATGCTGTTGTGAGCAGCTGGATTTATGAACTGGAAAACCATGTCCTTCCTTCACCGGCCTTCTTATGTTAACGAGACGGTGACAGGTTAAGTACGAATATAGAGATGAGCTGGGTTCTAATGATGAGTCCATATTGCACTGAGATAAATGAGTAAGAATTATGGCAGCTCTTTGCTTAGGGCATTTCCAACCGAATGTCATTTGCTCGTTTGTAGCTCTGGTGAGCATCCACCGGAACGCCAAATGGAAACATTTGTATTTTATTTTGGCTGTGAACAGTGCGAAGCTAATATTGACGTCACACGATTCAAAATGCCATTCGCCCATTTTGATTGTTAATAAATATAAAAACAAAGATGAGAAAGAATATATACAAAATAATTTTTTTGGTGTTAGAAATGAAATTCGGTTGGAGATGAATATGTGATATGACTGGTACTGCATTGTGAAGTGGAAAATAGGTTCTTCTGTTGGAAATGCCCTTAGCAAGAGGGCTGCCAGTTGAGAGAGTTTCAATTAGATCAGTTCGCATCAGCTTACTGTCTTTTTTCTGAAACTGTGAACTGGATTGGGATTTGTTTTCACTATGTAGCAATACTCCAAAATCATTCTCTAACAACAACTGGTAAATACTTGAATGAGGGATTAGAGCATAGATGGATTTTAGTACAGCTGAGCTGAGCAGGAACTCATTTATGCTTTTATCATAAAGTGGAAGATGGATGAGGATGCTGGGGCAGCAGCATATAGCTCTTCATCAATCCGGCTCTCAGCGAGCAAAGCTATAAGGTAACTAACTACTGATTCTTTGGAAGGTGAAGAGTCGAAAACTATATGATGGATTCCTGCAATTTCGGATATTAGCTTCAGTGCATAAACTTTGACCTGACTATTCTGATTTATATTGATGGCAGAGAAGAGAAAGCTCATTGCATTATGATCAGAAACTATCCACCTCCTGCTGCAACAGAGTCTGAGCCATAAAGAGGAGAAGGCGAAGCTGCGAGATTTGATCCTTAGGAGCCGAGGTTGTGATCTGGTTAATTATGTCTTGTATGCCATTTGAAGAGAAAAGAGTCTGCAAGCCAGGATGACTTGGTTGAGTCGTCTGAATGAGTGACATAAGAATCTCCTGTGCTTTCTGTTTCACTTCCTCCTCAACAGTTTTGTTAGTTATGAGGCATATTAGAGCAGAGACGGCACATTCATTCTGGAGGAAACAAGTCCTTAGTTTATTGAATTGAATGCTATGAACTGTTTGATGCATTCGAGGGATTCCATTTTGCCGGACGGATCGTGGCAGCTGAGCATCTCAGTTAAATGAACAATTAATAGCTCATTTTCTAAATTCCTAGCAGAAGTTTCTGATAATTGAATCTGTTCTAGTTCTTCTGCCATATAAGCTCTGATCTCGCCAGAAATGCCTACTTAAATAAAATAAGAAAAAGTGCATTAATAAGCATTGGGAGTAAGGAAGCTTGTGGAATGTGTTTATCAGTGTGTTGGCTCTGGAAGGCAACCATCGGTTGATATGATCGAGTAAGGAATGGTTACAGGAGGTTCATTGAATAGTGGATAAAACACTATAAAGACATTTCACCTTTTCTTAAGGACTTAATATACTCATGATTAGAGACTTTTTATAGATGCAAGCTCCAATGATTAGTTACAAGAAAAAAAGCTCAAAAGACAATTATGCATTAACAAAAAATTAAATTTACACAAACAACAAGACGAATTAATTGTCTTTAGAAAATCATGGATTTGAGCAGTCTTATAATAATAGAAAAAGACATTATCAATTTTTACAGAACTGTGTTTTAGTTTCTAAAATGGTCTTGTAATTTATACAGAACCAAAAAAGCCTTGTAATCTTATTACAAAATGTCTTATTGTTCTTGAATAATTGTCTTGCACGCATAATTCATTCTTATATCACCAGCTCCTGATTTAATTTTTTCCATAATTATCCTTCCAATCACAGGAGGCTGCAGAAGCTCGGAGAGTCTCTGGTTAATTATATATTCAGATGAAGATATTTCAACGTGAAGTGCGAGATTCAATTGCAGGAGTAGCACGCAATTTAGATCCTCTTGAAAAAGGATTGTGCTCAATTAAGGGTAGTTTAAGGGCTTTAATTTAGATTTTACCTTGTGATGGATTCCCATTCAAGCTGACAGAATGCTAGATTTTTTTTTAAAGGATTGCACTCTTATGCCCAAAAGGAGTTAAGTAGTTGGGGTTAGATGGGGCTAGATTATATGATTCTATTATTTCTATGTTTGTTAGTAGGCCATAGTCTAAATAATTTGAGGACTGTGACATTTGTGTTCTCAGTTTAGTGATCCTTATCAGTAATTATAAAATGCATCATCCAGGAAGACCATAAAAAAGGGTACAAAAACATAGCCAGGAGACCAAATTTGCGACAGACCTCAACAAATAAAGGTTTAATTCCTTTGCCAAAATATCATAAGACTCAATTTCAAAGATATTGCCACCCCCTCCCCTCCAATAGCCGCAAGTTGTTGCTATTTCTCTCCCTCCACAGCTCCAACCACAGGCCGTTCTGCAACCGCCTGAGCGAACAATCCACAAGATCCCCTTCTCACGAGAAATTATTTTGTGCGGACTTCAAACATAGAGAATTGTCTGGATTGTTGAGTATTTGTTATTTATTTACTGCGTATTTTAAAATGTATAGCAATCCGGACGATTCTCTACGTCCGAAATTTTCATAGAATAATTTCTCCCTTCCCAGACTATTTCTTATTGTGGCTTGTCCCACCCTCATCTTCACGTACTGAGTGCTCCTCGACCACATCAGTTTGCTGGATTGTCGCAAGAAGCTTTGGCCATCATTTGGCCAGCTGCTATATGTTTTCTGTTACGCAGGAACCAGCACAACAGTCTCCGCCACATACCCATTTTCAACATTAAGGCCTCCTTAGGAATCACAATCTTTTTTTTTTTTTTTGGGAAAATTTGGGGCATAAGCCCATATATTAAGAAGAAAGAAAATTACAAGTAAAGCAGTAACAGAAAAAGAGCCCTTGATAAACCAAAAAACTAAGGGCCAAAAGGAAGAAAAAACCCCAACTATACCACCAAATACAATAATTTGTCAAATATAATAACCCAAAAACTGTGGTAGAAGGAAAAACCGTCAGGAGACCAGCTGTATAGGAACGAAAGCAGAACGAGACCGAACCGCCAGGTGGAGATCAAATGCCTGCAGCCAAGAGAAAAACAACCCAGCTCCCAAGCCTATCAGAACTGGACTCAGAATAAAATAACGGCACGATTTAAACTTGTAACCCTGGTTGCCCGAAGACCGTCCAAGGGCCCTGCTAACGGGAGCATCATCATCGTCCAGTTCAGGCTTAGCAGGTAAAGCAGATGGACGTAGGGGCTCGGAAGTGTCCAAACGCAGCAGTGAAACAGAATGGCGTGAAAGTATATCAGTCCAGGCATCCGTCCAAACGCAGCATTGAAACATAGTGAAAAGTAAGACAAAGTATATCAATCCAGGCATCCGTCCAAACGCAGCATTGAAACATAGTGAAAAGTAAGACCAAAAACCCTCAAGCAACCTCCAACAAGTAGATGCCACCGAAAAATTGGAGATAACAGTTGCAGTCAAAACAGAATTAAGTAAGAAAACTGAATCTATCTTTAAGCTCATCAAATCTTTTCCAGTGCTTAACTTTGGCAATGATAGCATTACGGATAATGTAAAAAAGTTGAGAGGGGCTTTTCCATACGTTCTCAAATCTCCTAGAATTTCTTTCACGCCATAAGTAATAAATAGTGCAACAAATGGTGAAATAGCAGAAATTTTTCTCCCAGCAACAGTAATCCACAGAGTCATCAAACCATTGAAAAGTTTGTATCAGATTTGGTCTTAAGAGAAAGGCTCCCAGCGGTGGAAAAAGTGAGGTAATAACAGTGTATGAGAAGTCACAGCTAAAAAAGATGTGAGAATGACAGTCTCTACCTTCAGAGCAAAAAGAGCAGGTAGGTAAGGCTTCAATCCCTCTCAGATTCAAATGATCAGCAGTTTTTAATTTACCCAGCATAGCCATCCATGCATAAGAAGAAAATCGTAATGATTTTTTTTTATGCCAAATAAATTTGTGCCACATAACCTCCTCAAGATTACCAAAGAATTTTTTGTAGAAAGTTGAGAGGGTAGGATTAGTAATACCATTCCAAGAAACAATCAAATTTTCAGAAAAATTCACTTTCATCATCTCAGAAATCAGCAAATTCGGGGTGTGGGGGGGCAAATTCCAGCCATGAGATTCATTGTAGCATTGCTTATGTGAATATTATATCTTTGGAAAATAAATTGGATTAAAGTTTGCTACAGGATAACAAATTACTAAAGGGACTATCGATACATTCAATCGGATATTTGGGGACCTGCTCTTGTTTCAATTTTGGGTGGAGGTAGATATTTTATCTCCTTCATTAATTATTTTTCAAGAAAAGTCTAGATTTATATTTTTAAGACTTAAAAATGAAGCATTTAAGACAATCAAGCGAAGAAAAATACTAGTTGACAATTAGATTGGAAATAAAATTAAAAGGTTGAGAACAGATAACTGATTAAAGTATTTGAATTATGAATTTCTTGAATTTTGCAAAGGAAATAGAATTGTCTGACATAAAACTGTAAGAATGACTCCGCAGTAGAATCGTACTACTGAGAGGATGAACATGACTTTGCTAGAGAAAGTCAGATATATGCTATCATTTGCAAAAATGGATAAGTATTTCTAAAGAGAAGCAATTAATATTGCGTGCTACTTGGTGAATAGAAATCCGTCTACAGCTCTTGAACTCAAAAATCCTGAAACAATCTAGACAAGCAAAAAAGCAGACGGCAGCAATCTAAGAATGTTTTGATATCCAGTGTATATTCATATGAATCAAGGAAAACTAGAACCAAGATCCAAGAAAGATATATTCTTAAGATATCCGAAGAGAGTAAAGGTGAACAAATGTTGGCTTACCTCTGAATCCAAGTGTATAATTAGCAGAGATGTCATCTTCAATGAGCAAAAAATGATGATTGATCAGATTACTGAAAGAACTCATGAGACCACAAAGGGAACTGTGGAAGTTCAGAAAGATTTGTCAAAATTGGTCAGGAAAATAAAGTCTCCTTAAGAAATATTTGCATGGATTAAAACAGTCTCCACGACAGTGGTATAAGAAATTTGATTCATTCATGATTTAGAATTCTTTCAAAAGAAGCTCGTTTGATATGTGTGTTTACTACAAAAGGTTTAGGAGAATAGTGTAATATACTTGCTTCTATATGTTGACAATATGCTTATGGCAAGTGATAGTCTTTCAAAGATAGATCAGTTAAAGCAGATGCTAAACAGATGAAAAAATTGGATTAGGCCAGATGTATAGTTAGGATAGATATAATAAGGGACAGAAATAAATGTTTATTACATTTGTCTAAGCAAAACTATATCTTGAAAGTTCTAAAAAATTTGGAATGGAATCAGCCAAATTAGTTTCATCGCCACTGGATTCACAGTTCAGACTTTCTATGTCACAGTCATCAACTACAAAGGAAGATCAGAGGTATATGGGTTCAATTCCATATGCAAGTGCAGCTAGCAGTTTGATATATTCTTATGGTTTGCACCATGTCAGATATTGCTTGTGCTATGAGTATGATTTGCAAATTAATGGTTAATCCGGGAAAAGAGCACGGGAAGGCTGTTTAGCGGATCTTCAAACATCTCAGAGGATTAGTTGGTATTGGGTTGACTTATAAAAAGAAAAACTGAGGCAGAGAGCAAATTTCAAGATTTGTGGATTCATATTATATAGGAGATCTGGACAAGCATATATCTTTGATAGGGTATGTTTTTTGAGCCTACAGTAATACAGTTAGCTGAAAATCCAATCTTCAATCAATTGTAGCTTTATCAACCGCAGAGACAAAAATATAATAGCTACAGAGGCAATAAAGGAAGGCATCTGGATGAAAGAATTTCTAAAGGAGCTTGAAAATACATAAATAAAATAAATTATATGGAGTGACAGTTTTTTTTTTGGGAAAATTTGGGGCATAAGCCCATATATTAAGAAGAAAGAAAATTACAAGTAAAGCAGTAACAGAAAAAGAGCCCTTGATAAACCAAAAAACTAAGGGCCAAAAGGAAGAAAAAACCCCAACTATACCACCAAATACAATAATTTGTCAAATATAATAACCCAAAAACTGTGGTAGAAGGAAAAACCGTCAGGAGACCAGCTGTATAGGAACGAAAGCAGAACGAGACCGAACCGCCAGGTGGAGATCAAACGCCTGCAGCCAAGAGAAAAACAACCCAGCTCCCAAGCCTATCAGAACTGGACTCAGAATAAAATAACGGCACGATTTAAACTTGTAACCCTGGTTGCCCGAAGACCGTCCAAGGGCCCTGCTAACGGGAGCATCATCATCGTCCAGTTCAGGCTTAGCAGGTAAAGCAGATGGACGTAGGGGCTCGGAAGTGTCCAAACGCAGCAGTGAAACAGAATGGCGTGAAAGTATATCAGTCCAGGCATCCGTCCAAACGCAGCATTGAAACATAGTGAAAAGTAAGACCAAAAACCCTCAAGCAACCTCCAACAAGTAGATGCCACCGAAAAATTGGAGATAACAGTTGCAGTCAAAAAAGAATTAAGTAAGAAAACTGAATCTATCTTTAAGCTCATCAAATCTTTTCCAGTGCTTAACTTTGGCAATGATAGCATTACGGATAATGTAAAAAAGTTGAGAGGGGCTTTTCCATACGTTCTCAAATCTCCTAGAATTTCTTTCACGCCATAAGTAATAAATAGTGCAACAAATGGTGAAATAGCAGAAATTTTTCTCCCAGCAACAGTAATCCACAGAGTCATCAAACCATTGAAAAGTTTGTATCAGATTTGGTCTTAAGAGAAAGGCTCCCAGCGGTGGAAAAAGTGAGGTAATAACAGTGTATGAGAAGTCACAGCTAAAAAAGATGTGAGAATGACAGTCTCTACCTTCAGAGCAAAAAGAGCAGGTAGGTAAGGCTTCAATCCCTCTCAGATTCAAATGATCAGCAGTTTTTAATTTACCCAGCATAGCCATCCATGCATAAGAAGAAAATTGTAATGATTTTTTCTTATGCCAAATAAATTTGTGCCACATAACCTCCTCAAGATTACCAAAGAATTTTTTGTAGAAAGTTGAGAGGGTAGGATTAGTAATACCATTCCAAGAAACAATCAAATTTTCAGAAAAATTCACTTTCATCATCTCAGAAATCAGCAAATTCGGGGTGTGGGGGGGCAAATTCCAGCCATGAGATTCATTGTAGCATTGCACGAAATGATTATCAAATTTGAAAGAAGGCATGATATCAACAAGAGCTTTACCATTGCACCAATGATCCCAATCCATAGATAAATTGCAATTTCTAGAAGGTGAAAAAGATATATTCCCTTTAATAGTGACAGCAGTTTCATGCACCTTCCTCCAGAATTTCGAAGTTGTAGAAATAAGAGGTTTCCAAGGTGAAATGTATTTATTTCTAAACCAAGCCATAGCCCAATTATCCTTAGTAAAGAATCTCCAAATAAAAGCACAGTGATTAGCAAAGATCAGAGCATCAACAGACGGAATACCAATCCCCCCCAATCTGGTAGGCATGGCAGTGACATTCCATGAAATCAAATGGAGTTTCCTTTCATTAATCTTTCCATGATAAAGAAACCTGGAGCAAAGTCTAGAGAGGACTTTACAACAGGATTTGGGTATAATGGATCCTCTAATCCAATAAGCAAGAGTGTTAGCAATTGTGAACTTGATGAATTGTACCCTACCTGCAAAAGAGAGAAATTTAACTTTCCAGCCATCCAGTAGAGTAAAAATATTACTCATGAGTGGCTGGAAGTGAGAAGAATTAAGGCGGGCAGTGGCAATGGGAATCCCAAGATATTTGAGGAAGGAGCTTTGAGTGGAGATGCCCAGGCAATTACAAATGGCAGAGGAATTTGCAGCATTCTTTGAGAAAATAATAGAACTCTTTGCTTGATTAATAAAGAGTCCAGAAGCATTAGAGAAAATATAAATTGCTTTAGCCAGAGTATGAGCATTAGAAAGAGAAGCCTTTCCGAACACTAAAACATCATCAGCATAAAGAAGGTGCGTAATGGAAAGATTTTTCATTTGAGGCCCAATGAAATGAGTGTTACCATTCTCCAAGGAGCAAGAGAAACCGTCCATAACAATGCAGAAAAGAAGTGGAGATAATGGGCAACCTTGTCTTAACCCGGAGGAGGAACCAAAAAAACCATTCAAAGCCCCATTAAAACAAATGGAGAAAAAAACATTTGAGATGCAACCTTTGACCCATTTAATAAATAACTCCGGAAAACCTTTCTGCCTTAGCCTTTGGAAAAGAAAGTCATGAGAAACAGTGTCAAAGGCTTTACGAATATCTAACTTGGCACAGAAAGAGTTTTTAAAGTCTTTTAATATTTCAGCAGCAAGTAGAATATTATCAGTTGAACAACGATCTTTGATAAACCCTGATTGGCTTTCATGAATGATAGTAGGTAAAACAACCTTAAGCCTGTTTGCCACCAGCTTGGCCATGATTTTGTACAACACATTGCATAATGAAATGGGACGGAAGTCAGAAATAGATGAAACATGTGCTCCTTTTGGAAGAAGAGCCAAAGCAGCGGCTTTGACACTCCTAGGTAGGTATCCGGAATTACAGAATTCCATGGCAGCATTACATATGAGAGGACCAGAAATATGCCAAGTTCTCTTAAAAAAGGCAAATGTGAAACCGTCAGGCCCCGGAGCAGAGGAGTCACATCCACTAAAAACCACCATCTTAATCTCATCATAAGTAAAAGGAGCAATCAGAGGGTTTAACATGTGATGAGGGATACAAATACCAGGATTAATAGAGAAGCTCTCAGCATTAATAGGTTTTGGCGTGTTGAAGAGGCTTTTATAGTGCCGAATGAATGCGGAAGCAATATCCTGAGGGGTAGCATGAATCCCCTGATCATCAGTAATTTCAAAAATATTGTTGTGGTTCCTCCTTGCACGTATCTTGGCATATAAGAAGCCCAAATCATCGACATCTTGGGAGAGCCAGCTAGCTTTAGCACGTTGAGAAACCCATGAAGCCCAAGATGCTTGAAGGCTAGCAAGGTTGCTGTTGATATTTTTTAAAGAAGAATTCAAAGATGGGTCCAAAGGCATCAATTGAATTTTCTCTAAACAAATAAGCTGTTGATTCTTGAGCTCCAAAATCTGATTAGATAAATGATTGGAGGAAGCCTAGACCCTTTTCTTTAAAGCACCTTTGAGGTTTTGGAGGCAATGGTGAAGATGACAAATAGGCCCTTTATTAGAAGTTTGAGAAAAAGCAGTAAGGACGTCTTCCCAAAACCCATCCATGAAAGTCCAATAATTCTTAAATAAAAACCGATTGTTAGAAGTAATGGAGGTAATAAGGGGTGAGTGATCAGATCCATTCGGAGAAGCAACCTTATAATGGGCCAAAGGAAAATGATCTAGAAAACAAGAGTTGACCATCACCCTGTCTAACTTGATGTGAATAGGCTCATCAGCCCTTTGATTATGCCAAGTAAAAAACAACCCAACAGAAGCCAGGTCATGCAAACCACAGTCAAAAATGGTCCCGTTAAGCTCTTGAAGTTTGCTGTTAGGGATAGGATTTCCGCCGGCCTTTTCATTATGAAATCTGTAACAATTCAGATCCCCCATAACCAGCCAAGGAAGAGGGGTAGAGGGAATCAGTTCCCTGATTTTATTCCAAAGAGAAGCCCTTTCATCAACATTGTTAGCTGCATAAATGACTGAAATCTGAAAAGGGGGAAGAGTTCCCATGGAGATAACACCATGAATGAGTTGAGAAGAGAGGAATGTAGGAGAAAAGGAGACAAAAGAAGGGTCCCATTTAATCCATATCCTCCCTAATGAAGAACATCCAAAATTATGACAATGAGATTCATTCTCAAAAACCATATGAGAACTAAGAAACCAGTCATCATCAACTGAGGAAGGAGTCACTTTAGCTTCCAGAAGACATAAAAATTTCAGGTTGTGAGCCCGAATTAAATCCCTGCACAACAAAACTTTGTCGGGTCTATTAAACCCCCTTATGTTCCAACAAGCTATATTGGGATAAGACATTATGATTTGGGTTTTGAAGGTTTGCCTTTTTTGGTAGATTTCCCTCTAGTATGCTTAGAGAGAGGAGAAGATTGTGTATTAGATTTAGGAGGGGGTTGGTTTGGGGATTTGGTGGAGGAGGTGGATGGAGAGGGAATATTTTGTATGGGTTTTTCATTGATAGGGGGAATGGATTCGGCATTCAGAAGAGGGTCTTCATCCAAGGGAGGGTCATCCTCCAGGAGGGCTTTGAATTTATTAGAGGTGGAAAGGTTCAAAGATGATGAACCTATGAGGATGTTGGGTATGAAGGGAGGTGTAGATGAAGAAGAAGCTTCCAAAGAAGCGTCATCATTGGGTGAATTAAGGTTAGATATGAAGGTAGTTTTTTCGGGTTTGTGGAGGTTAGGGGAATTGTTGTTGACAGTGGGTATATATATTGAAGAGGGATTGGTAGAAGCAACAAAAGAGGGCTGATTATCAATTTGATTTGGAACCTCAACAACCGCAACATCCCCAGGGGTGGATGTCTGGACAGGATTGTTGAGAAGGGGAGTTGTCGGTTGAGGAGGTAAATTAAGAGCAGGATTAGGAGGAGGTTTAGAGTTGGGTCTAGAGTTAGGTCGGGGTGGACGGCTGGAGCTTCTCCCACGAGGGCGTGGAGGAGGTAAGACAACAGGAGGAGAGGGGTTCGGGTTTTTGGGACAGATAGAGTATGAGTGAACCAACGAACGGCAACCTTCACAAGGGGTGGGCTTCCAGTCATAGAGGACTTTGAGGATTAAGTCTTCATCGTCAATATCCAAAGGAATTTCGTCTGGAAGAGGTGAGTCTTTGGAGATGAGAACACAGACACGGGCGAAGGTTAGACGGGATCTTTTAGCAGTTAAGGAATCAACAGTCAGAGGAATACCAATATAGCTTGCGATTTTTGAAATACCAGTTGGTGTCCATAAAGCCAAAGGAAAATCCACAATCTTGATCCAGATAGGAATGGAGGCGTTCTCATCCCGTTTTGGCTTAAATTTGGGAGACCATTGTTGCAGAATGAATGGTTTCCCAAGTAAAAACCATGGACCCCCAGACCAAACAGCATCATAATCTTCTTTGGATGAAAATTTAATAAGGAAAAAACCATCGGCTAGCGATAATAGAGAAATCGCACCTTTCAAAGGCCAAACCTTTCTCATAGCCGAGAGAAGCCGCTCGTAATAAGGACGTTGACCCAAGGAGTAACCAACCATCGAAAAATTCCAGAGAGAAGCACCTTCAGACAGATCATCAGCACGAAAGGAAAGTTTTGGTTTTGGCGGATAGAAAATAACTGGGAAAGGCTCTGGGTTAGAGGGGGGGGTTGGCAGCCGCTGTTTCGGCATAGGAAGGTGGAGGAGCGGAAGAGCCAGGTAAGGCGGGAAAATCCTTCGGATTGAGGGCCATCCGAAGGGGGGAGAGGACGACCTCTCCCGGCGGTAGCAGTGCGCCGGCAAAAGGGATTAGGGTTTCGCCAGAGCCGAGACAGCTTGCAAGCTTCAAATTTTTGTTAGGAATCACAATCTCAAACCAAGCTTGCCATTCTTGGTTTTTCTCTCAAGTCACATCAAGAGCTGATTTAATTTAAGAAACAAATCCTTGCTTTAGTTGTCCACTTACCCAAATTTTTTCTTCAATATGAAGAATGCATATTTGACATAAGTGATATGAATAATGCAGTGAAGTTTAAATTAGATTGTTAAACTTAGTTGAACTGTTTCAGACACACTAAGAAGAGGGTGAATTAGTATTTTATTTTATTATTTTAAATTGTAAAAAAAAAATATAAAATTCAAAAGTATGTTCAGATGTTGATCCAACAATGCGGAAGCAAATGATATAAAAACTAAAATGCAAATTTTCTTTTGTTTTGATTTTATAGAAAACTCAAATATGATTTTTTTTTTCAAATATTATTTTCTTTTGTTTTTTTTTTCTCAAAAATCAATCTAAAATAATCACACTTCTTTCAATCCATATTTACAAGAATAGAACATGCAGGAAATAAAAAATGCAGAAAGAAGGGATGAGCACACCTAAAATTTTAAAGTGGTTCGGTCAAAAATTTGGCCTACGTCAACTCCCTAGAGTCATTCTCTCTGGGTATTACGCTAAATCTTCAGTGACTCTTCTTTTGCCCCTTTAGCAAGATGAAGAAACCCTTATAAAATATCTTCTACCAACCTGGGGAGGCATAGTATCGAAATCTTTTTTTTTTCCTCCTAGTGAGGCAAAGAATTGAAATCCTTTTTACCCTCTTGTTGAGGCAAATAACTTGAATCCCTTTCACTCTCCTAGTGGGGTGGAGTGCTGAAAAACTTTGGGCTTGAAGACTTTCTCTTCGAAGCTTCCCTCAAGATCAATGAAGACACATGGAGAAACTTTGGTAGAAGCTTGTTTGGAGCAACCGCTTGAAATCCTCTCTCACACAACTTCTCCCTCACACACAACTTCTCCCCCATTCTCTCCAAACTCCAAGATTCCTCAAGAAGACAAAGCCCTCTCAAAGGACTCTCGCAGAAATTTCACAACATCTAATGATTTTCACAAAGTTTGATAAGGGAGCTTAAATACAAGGCTTTCAAAAATATTAAAATTTCAAATAAGCCATCTCTAATCATACAATATGACATGAGGATTGTAAAATACAATTAGTTTAATATATTATGTTAGCGATGTATTATGAACAAGGGTCTGTACGATTAGTTCAAAGACTTGAACTTATCATCCAGTATGATATCAAGGTTTTATAGTACGATTAGTTCAATCAAATATGATTTTTGTCTAGTACGATCGTTGGCGATTAATTATTGCCGTGGGAGCTAATCAGACCATACTATACAAAGCTCGACATCATATAATACGATCACAAATCTCAATTAATGTTGATTCGATTGCTTAATTATATGATTATATTAGGCAAAATTTAATTATATCGCATAGTACGATTGTAATCATATAGTATGATTAGTTGAATTTTAAAATTTTAAAATATTACCTAATATATGATTGACAACAAGGTTTTCTGATTATAACTAATCGTCCTATACGGTTTTGAATCAAACAATATGACTAGTTCAAAATTAGATTTTTTTAATTAAATATTTTAATTAAATTTTATTTTACCCAAATCATACATTATGATTCAGACAGTACAATACGATATTAAAAAAATTAACACATTTAATTTTACTCTCATGTGTATAAACGGTTGCTAAGCTAAACATTCATCTTTTATAATTCATAGCTCAAGAAACATAAAATTACAGACTTTTACAAATATCAATCCTAAACTATCTTATCTTGAGCATGATCCTTTGATAGTGCTTGACCTATATTGTAATTGAAATATTAGTACAAAAAATATGCATTAAAAACAAATAAGATAAACTAAATAAACTTCAATAATATTTGTAATCATCAAAACATTACTCGGGCTCCCAGATTATAACAATCTCTCTCTTTTTAATGATAACAAATATTGTTAGTTGAATTTCAATTTAGTTTTATTTTTCTCATAAGGTCTCCCCCTTACTAAGTGATATCTTTTAAAATAGGGATATATTATTAAAATTTTTTAATTAAATACTACAAGAGAACACTTAGATAACTAAAGTAAGAAACACACAATATTAATAAGAACAAGCTAGTACAACTAACAACCTATATACTCTCCCTTTTGACATCACCAAAAGGGAGAACTAAAAATTGAAATAGACAACAAAACAATAAACTACAAAAAGCAAGAAACAAAATATAAAGAAATGGTACAACACATCACACTTGACTAAAAAGTAGGAAGGTCCTGATTATGTGGTGACAGTAGTGGCTGAAAGTATCGGTGAATGGTAGAAAATTGGTCGTTGGACCACTCACGATTTGCCTCGTGATGATGTTGGAGCTCCTCGTGTTGGTGTAAGAGTTGCCTCATGCTGCTGCCTGAGCTACTCCCAATGTTGAGTAGACTCCTAGAAGTGTGTACCCAATTGCAACTCCATGCAGTCAAGTCTCTCTATGAATGAGTCACGAGCCTAGGGCTGGTATATAGGTGCATGTGTTACTGTTGGTGCTGATGTTTCTCTTGCTTCCTCTTGCTCTGGATCAGGTTCATAATGACCATGGCGGCTTCTATCACTATAACATATGTGAAAATAGCTATTGGAATAGAAGACTAGGAGGTGATTGGGTGGTGCAGGGTATTATAGGTCGTCCTTGGATTCCAAGACATAAGATATGATGTGTCATATTGTTAGGTTCTGCTTACATTAAATCCTAGGATATATAATACTCGTCAAGTTTTTAATGTAGAAAATAATCAGGTCTTCTGTATTGAATCCAGTCTTGGTCATAATGAAGTATGTGACGAGGGATAAGAGGTATGATGTAGACTATATCACTTGCTTTAGGAATGATGGAAATTTTAAAGACATATTGAATTATACGTGCTTCTTGAACAAGGGTGCAATCAAAAGGAACATGATTGTTTAGTGGAGTATCTCTAAGTGGGATGTTGGCTTGTGTCTAGTTATATTCAGAACTAAATGTTATGGAGTGAGCTTTAAGGCCATTAGTAGAGAGGCATAGGATATAATCAAAATCTTTATAAGTTATTTATATAGTCCTTCTACTTGATTTTACCCCTTAGCTACTAATATATCCTTATTCCTTATTACTGCTCATGTACCATTCAGCTTATTCTTGAATATCCATTTCGTGTTTATTACACTTTAGTTCTTAGGTATATTAACCAACTGTTAAATATTATTCATAAAAAATTAGTTTAACTCTTCTTGAATAGCTAGGATTCAAAACTCATTAGTTAGGGCTTGATTTATATTTGTTGGTTTTACCATAGAGATAAATGTAATATGACTAACTTCTTTCCTAAGGTCTTGCCTAATTCTAACCCCTACTGATGGATCTCCTTGTTGCAATCCATGACCCATAGTTTGAAATTTTGATGATGACAAATAATGTCGTCTGAATTACTATTCATTGAATATCCTTGATTTCTCTTATTGTCTATGAGTACTAACATTTCAGGAAGATCACAAGTTATTCAGGACAACGAGAAGACTCAAGACTGGGTAGAGTAGGAGTGTGACTCTGTAACATTGTTACTTTTTTCATTTATTTTATTTTCTTTTTTTCTTGAGTCTGGCCACAAACTGCATGTAAACCTGAGTAACCATGCACACACACAGGGGGAGAGGATTTTAAAAGAAAAATATAGATTTTTTCTCTATTGATCGTACTATACGAATTTATATCGTACTGTACGATCTGATCTGGTTAAAACATCTTTATGTGACAGGTCGTACTTTATGATTAATAGCGTACTGTACGATGTGTTACTAATCCATAACCCTAGTCGCCAGATAAGTTTAAGTTTTATCAGCCGTTCATATTGTACGAAGGGATTTGTACTGTACGATTTATTTTGAATACTTACTTAAATTAACCCGTAATTAGCGAAATAAATTAGGGATTAATCTCTGATTGGTACTCGTACTGTACGAACATGTTCGTATTATACGATGAACAAAGATGAGTTTTGATCGTCCCAAACTTCATCCTGGACGATCTCTTGTTTTTGCCTAATCATACTGTACGAAGTATATCATACCATATGATGTACAGAGATGAGTTTTGATCGTCCCAGACTTCATCTTAGACGATACCTTGATTTTGACTATTCGTACCATACGAAGTAGGTCGCACCCTATGATGTACATAGATTAGTTTTGATCGTCCCGACTATCGTCCTGTACAAACAGAAGAGTTGAAGATCATACTGTACGAGATTATATCATACTGTATAATTATTTTCAGAAGTTTTTGAACTGTTCATAAACCTTCGTACTAGGATGAAGCTTGTTTATACTAATTGTACTGTATGATAGGGAATCATACTGTACGATAGTAACGACTACTTTGAAAATTTCAAATATTTTGGAGCCTGTTTAAAGTATCAAAAAGTTATGTTTTTGGTGTGTGACTGAAAAAGAGAGGAACGTGATTAGAGAGGGAATCCTTGGGAGAGAGCTCTTGAGAAGATTTTAGGGTTTGAGAGAGGAAGAAGAGGGTGAGATTAGTGAGGGAGACGTAGTGTGAGGGAGATCACATCGTTGCTCAATTCTTGCTGCACTTTATTCCTCCTGTGGCCCAAGAAGATCTTGTGGGAGGCTCTCTGAGGGGGAGACTCTTCTACATCAGTGTCCTCTAAGGTACTCTTCCTTCTCCAGGAGAGAGAAAAAATGAGAAGGTACGCTGCTGTCACCAGGAGGGTGACAAAGCGCTTGGCACTACGCCACGCCAGGTTGGTGAAAGTGAGTTTTGTGAGGGT